AAGTTATAAAAAAACAAAAAGCCAGGGGGGGGGGGGGGACGGACATGTGCGGGATCGCTGATAGCAGATACACACAGACTTCTCTCGGCACCTCCCAAATATAGACCTGATGCCAAAATAGCCAAGTAATTTACCAACCTCAACCTGGTATGTCCTAAAGATCCATGGACACCGGACACAATGGTCAACACAGGCTTACCTGTGCTCCTCTCTAAGCCGGAACACGCTATCTGAAAGTGAGGTCACGCTATCTGAGTTTGCATATAGACTCTCAACAGGCGACTCACTTCAGATTCTTTTTGGAGAAGATAGATATAGATATAATGAGAGAAAAATCCACTTCACATCCAGGTAAATTACTGATTGCCACTCCATGGAGATCTGTGAAAAGGCAAGCGAATTGCCTATTTAGAGGACAGAGTGGAGACTCCACACATCACAGTGCATTGTAGCATCCCAGTGGAGAGAGAACAAGATGCCTTTCGCCTTAAGGATGCCCAAAATAGATCCAGATGCTCCAACATTCTCATGCGTGGCCTTTCGAAAGTATAGTGGACTGAAATTCAACAGTGATGGCCCTCTTCCAGGAACTTGTGCCCTCTGTTCCTACTGAGCACTTAGAGTTCAACTGCATACACAGGGGCCTTACTAGATGCCTTATGGGCCCACATGTGATATTAAAGTTTGGCTGCACTACTACAGGACCAAGTAAACTGTACTACACCGTCTTTCCAAGTCCCTGTCTATCAGATATTTCAAGAACTGGCTTCACAGACAATCTCACAGGGCTTTTAAACCGTACCTGCAAGTCCTTTTGAATCCCACATAAAGTACAAATGGGGATTGCCATTTAGCCTGCAATTCACCTACAAGGGCAAACAATATACCTCTACTACTCCAGAAGCCATAGGAATAAACCTGGAAAATCTGCAACTGTACCCACTATTCCTGCTGGAACATGAACCAGACACTATGAGTCTCCACGGCAGACCTCATTGCACATTCAAGATTTCTCCCTTGCACATTCCGGCCAGGAACTCGACCGTCATCCAGAGCCCACATAGTGCAGCTGAAACAGACATTTTTTTAAGAAGCTTCTCTCCAGACCTTTTCGGCTTACTGTGATCCTCTAGGACGCTCAGTGTCTGGCTGTGTGCTAACTACCACTGAACTCACAACACACTCAGATTACTAACTTTCTCTGCCTTTTCCCTATCTTCTCTTATCATGCCGAACCCATGGCCCATTATGCTAATTACCAGACACACAGATACATCCCAGAGTATATGCATAAGAGGTGTTAGAGTTCCTAATGTACTGTATGTCTAATGCTGTAAGTTATTAAGATAAATCCTTTTGGCAAAGGAGGGAGTGCTCAAGGAAATCCAGATGCATAGAAAACAGTAACGGTGCCACACTAATGGAGCTGAGAGTTCAAAGTGTTTTTTTATTAGGTAATTAGTTGAAGAACCACAGCATTTTGGGGGTTCGCACTCCCACTTTATCAGGGCTCATATATTGTGCAGCTTCATTGATGCTTGTAAGTGCTTGTAAGTACCAAGTATGACCACCAGTATTACCTACAGGTTTATGCTGTGTGTGAAAGTCTTTTTGTGTTGCTACCCAGAAGCAGACAATGCAAAGCAACAAGGACGCTGCCCTCTGTCCAGCTTTCTGTGGGTGTTGGGCCCAGTTCACATCCAGAAAATATCCATAGATGCCGACTACAGGAGGTGAGATCATTAAATCCCCTGGACTACTACACACTGTGCTCCAAGAGGTTGTCTGCAAGATATTTTAACTCTTTTTTTGTGGAAAAACCTTTATTGCACTCGATTGCGCACCCTTTACATTCTTATCTCTATTCAGAAACCGTATGTTTGGTAAAGATTTGCCCCCATTTAGGGTTGCAAGCTGCATTATTAGACTGTATGATTTTTTTAGTAGCTACCACCATTCTGAGATGAAGACCCCTGAATCTAAGAGCCATTGCTAGTGATTGATATAATTCCTCTGGACCATCAGATTTACTTGAAGGCTGTTTAGTACTTTTCAATTGTGAGTGCATTTCTTATTTTCAGTTTTAGAACCCAGTGAGGGGAATTTATCAATCCTAGAGCAAACAGAATCTGGAGCTGTTGCCCATGTAGGAGCGATTTTTGGCTGGATGTTGCGCGATTTTGGTCCCATAGACATCTTTATGCATTGAAAATCGCACGACAACCGCACGAAAACAGCTCACCAGCTCAGTCGCTTAGGTGTGAACCTAGCCTGAGAGAGCTACACTATAAACTGGCTATGAAACTGCTGAATCATTCAAGCCAGAGTTTGGGGCCCATCTCCGGAACGCTAAACAGTATTGTTAGGTGGGCAACCTGCCTTAACGTAAAGCATGGAGATTTGCTTGTGTCATTTGCACGTGATCAAGGTCATCGCAGGGGAGACCTAAAGCTTTAACCTTGCTCTGGCTTCCATGGACGCATTCTTTAGAGGATGAAAACTGAAGGCTCAGGACAATGGATTCCTTTTGGAGTAGTTATATTATGATCTTAAGATACTGTTGTTCAGAACCAGACAACCTGGGGAAAATACAACTTGCAAAAGTTTTTGAAGAAACTGAAAGTGCTTGAACCTGATGGGTCAGCATATAGGGTTTATTTGAGAATAATTGGGCCTGTGAAGGATTCATCTCCACTGCATAAAGGCTTGTAATAATGTAAGGTTTACTAGTTCATGTCCTGTTCTGTTAAAATAGCAAGGGTTTTGCATGGTTTCACCTATAGCAGATGCCTTTTCCTAAGGCTAGTATGTCTACCAGTACTTGGATGTCCCAGGACTTGAAGTGTAGTGCTATATTCACAGAACTGGAAGGCTCCCCAGCAACCCCAGAGAGAAGCGTACTGTGTTAGATGTGCTTCAGGGTGCGGAATGGTTCACAGTAAGTGCAATATGCAGGAGCGACTAGGATTAGGGACTGGCTGGATGCCAACCTTGCAGGTGTCAAGGCTGGCATCAGGCAATGGCATAGTCTGTTTTCCAAGCAAAGTTCTAGACAGGTGGCAGTCAGTACCAAAAAAGATCAACTGTCTGATGCAGAATAAAACAAGTTAAAGAAGTCACAGTGCAGACCAGCTGAGACTATTACTGAAAAAATATAACATCCCTTGATTGCGTTCACTGTAAAAACGTTCCGACGTTTGTTCCTGCACCCATTCACCTTCTACTCACCACGCCAGGGGACCTCCATGAAGTAAATCTGTTTTTACAGAGTTCACAAGTGGGCATGAGTAAGCAGCGCTGCTGATAAACAAGGACTGTTTTGTTTTCCTCTGAAAGATCTGTGGACATCCGTGGCAACAAAATGTTGTGGGGGCGAGCCGTGAGTAGAAATGATTTTACGACTGCTGGTTGATTCTCCCGCAAAAGCAGAGACCTGTATGGGACGGACACAGCTATTCAATTAAAGGAGAACTATGAGGTAAGGGCCTTTCCCCATAGTTCTCCTTAGGGTAACGGGAGGACACAAGCTAGCGTCCTCCCATTACCCTAAGCTCAGTATACCGCGAGCTACAGCTCGCGGTATACTGAGACGCCGCAGCCGGAGCGGATCCCGACATCGATGTCGAGATCCGCCCAGCTGCGTGAGTGACAGCTGGCTCTGCCTATCTAGAGGCACAGCCAGCTGTACCCGCCCCCTCCCCCATCGGTTCCGCCAGTCAGCGCTGGCGGATCGGAGCGGGGAGGGGGGAATCCAGCCCCTCCCCTGTCAAGGCAGAGAGCCGTGACAGGATCGAGAGGTGAGCGAACGCCGGTATGTGTTCGCTCACCTCCCGATCTACTGAGCCGACCTGTGACAGTCTCATTGTCACAGGTCGGCTAGAACTATGAGGTGAGTGAAAAGCACTCACCTCATAGTTCTCCTTTAAGCACAGATTGTTTCTTGGTTTAAACCTGGAATATCCACAGTTACTTTTCCCTTGAACTGCAGCTGGCAGCGATTCTGATGTTTCATTATGCTGTAGCAAAGTATCCATCTAACTGACAACTAGCGAAGAAAAGAACTGTGTTCCACGTGTAGCTTTTTAGGAAGTTCTCATATTTTCCACAGAGGAATCTGTGGTGTATAGATATATTCCTATTGATGTGAAGGAAGACTGATGAATGATATTCACCTCCTCTATGCAAATTATCGATGACTGAGGAAACATACA